TGGGAAGAGAAAGCTTGAAGGAAAGATGGAGGGACTGAGAGATATAGAGTGTGTGGGAATGCAGACGGGGAGTGTGACTACCTGCTGAAATTCATCTGTCCAATGTTCATGCTACCAACTGACATTGCTGTTTGTGCTATGTTTGTGCTACTGCTTGGATTAATTGAGCAGCGGTATGCAGTGGGCGGCACAACCCTCAGCTACAAACATGTCTTTTCCCAGAGTTCCTCTGAAAGACTGTGGCTGCAGAACTAATCGGATTCCTGTCTCCTACCAACCAGCATCAAATCGAGCCAAATTTCAGAGAAACTTTTAGCAATAACCAAAAGGTTTGGAAGGGAAAAAAAAGATGTTCTGTGCATACCAATGAGTGTTGACTCAGATGATTGTGCAATCATGCAATGAATTGTAAGCAGTGCTGACAATGGCTGTGCAGCTGAAACAGTGCAAATGCTGAAGAAACACAGTATGCTCAGTGTTCAGATGTTCATGCTACTGTACTTCTGCAGCCTTTGCAAGTTTTGTACCTTTTGCTCCTCTCTTTGTCAAGTTCAGCTACTCCAGTTGTTGTTTGCCACTGTGTGCTGCATGTTGCATGATGCTATCATATCCTGTTTTCACAACAACCGCGACACCCGTGTGACCATTATAGAGAGTCTAGGCTAAAATGAAAAATGAATGCAGGTCCTGGCGGCAGAGTGAAGGTCATTGCAATTCTATTGGGATGAAATTTTGATACGAGAAACTTGCAAAAAGCTTTTATTTTTGAGACACTCTAGTTAAAAATGAATGCCATTTTCCAGACCGGGGAATTGAATAACCACTTTTGTCAACAACAACAAAAAAGTGATTCCTCAACTTAAGTGACCCCGATTCTGTTATTTAGCTACAATAGCCACTGCTACTCTGTGAACCGAGAGTTAAGTCAGTAGCATAAATACTGCATGAGCTCTATTAAAAAAAAGCCCACCACAGCTCCCTCTGCTATTCTCTCAGGTTCGACTTTTGACAGAAGCTCTGCTACTTGGGTTGCTCTGTCTCGTGTGGCTGCCCTGTGCAACAGAGCTGAATTCAAAGGCGAACAGGAGCACCTTCCCATCCAGATGGTATAACCCTCCACCACACAGCAACACTACATCAGCAGCTTAACAAATCACTGCACTGATGCTTCAGTCTCATGAATTATCTCCAAAGCAGAGGGTATAACAGGTTTAATTTAACCCAAGGTCATTATGAACAGCCCCTTTTAGACCTGGATCAAATAATGCATGCACATTATTCATAAGACATGTTTTTACCTACATGGTTTCCCAATAAGGTGAAGTTAACAACAATAGGACAATGCCAGGTGAGCTGCCACTGAAAAATAAGCAGTGATAGAATTATTCAGATAGTTAAGTAAAGGTAGCAAGATGGTTCTGTATCAAAGTTTCATTACAAGTATAATTAATAACTTGTACTTAAACTTAAACCAGCATCAGTTTATACTTAAAAACTGTTGTTGTTTTCACAGCCTTTTATAGCTAATTCCTCTGTGGCACAGAACTCCACTATTGTCCAAAGCTAATTAAAGCCATAAAAAGAGCTGTACCTTTATACGTGGGAAACATATTTTTCCTAGGCTTTGACTAATGCCGGAATAGCGTACCTTTCTGAAGGTGAAGCTCAAGGTTGGCTTTAGTCTCTGTAGGGATTGTTTGGTAATATTAAATGGATAAAGGAACATCAGCCTTAGCCTTTAAGCAAAATATAAAAAGCAGCATTAGCATAAAAACCTAATCATACAGTAAAACTAAAAGTAGTCATTGTACAGATTATTCCCTGTGAAAGCATTTTAATGTGACTAGTTTCAGCAACTCTGTATTCTGCTATATAATACTACTGGGCTGTGGTGGAAGTTAGGTCTTCCACTTAAAGCCACAGTGTGTAACTTTTTTTCAGATATTCTTGTTGTAGAAATCTGCTCCAAAACTTGTCTTAATGTGGAGAGGTGCTGTCGAAGCCTCCTGTGGCCCAGACTCATTGACCAACACTGGCAAAGATAGGAGCTTCTAAAAGGTTTTGAGCAGGATTGACCTCTTGAACCAATCAGAGATTTTCAGTTATTTCTGCTTGATGAGTAACTTTTGTTGCATTCTTGTTTATTGTAATTTCATAATGAGAAATATCTGAAGAGCTGGGCAGAGCATGGCAGAGTGTAGTAGAGGTTTGGAGTTTCCTGCTAGTGCTGCCTTAAGTTACATACTGTAGCTTTAGTTAAAAGTGGAAATACCACAGTGTAAAAGTATTTATAAAATTAATAATAATGTAATATGATAATACTTTTAACTACTTGCATACATTCAGTCGAGTAGCGTGTGGTATATTTTCTTTGTAAAATGTGAAAGACAACTAGTGGTTGTAAATGTAATGAAGTTAAAAGTACAATATTTCCCTCTGAAATGCAGTGGAGTGCAGGTATAAAGTAGCCAAAATGGCAATACTGTGCAATACTCACTACTGATTATATACTGTAACAACTAGTATTATAATAATAACAATAATAATGATAATACATCCACATACCTATGTTCAGTGGAAGTGCTTCATAATTGTACATCAGTGGAGTCCTTGAGTAAATGTGCTTTGTATTATCTCATGTGGCCCACTGATCCTCTCCTGTGTGGCACCCACAGGGGGAAAAACCAACCCATGAAAACAATTTGTCTACACTTGATGCAAGGTGCACACCCGCTCACACAAACACACACACGCACGCACACACACAGAGGATAATCCAGTGCACCCCTGGCAACAACTCCCCCACACTCCCACACATAAACGCACACTGCTGGGCAGGTAGGTCAATGATATCCCAGTGTTCTACCCGCCGCTATCCTCCGACCCGTGCTACACTGACCTGAAGGAACTCTCCATGTGGCTCTCAGCGTCAGGGATTACAGCTCATTGATTCCACTGGGAGCAGGCCCTGCCGCCACAGCCTCTCTGGTCCTGGAGGTGCTCAGGCTTCCTCCTGCATTAAGTAACATTCGTTCCTTCTGACAGCACTCAAACACAGCAGCCACAGCACAGGCTCCAGTGCCATTATGAGAACAATTCCCCATCTGCACCCAGAAAAATAGAGAAATGGAATTTCCTTGATCTATTTATTCATTCATGAAAAGGCACAAACAAGGACAAATCTTGCAGAAAGCGTGTCCTTGTTTTGCGGCTGTTCATGAATGAATAAACAGGAACAAAGAGAAATCTTTTGCATAAGTTCAGCTCCCGTTAGTATATTAGATGTCAGGTCAATCAGTTCAACATGGATTTTAATAAACTGGCTCAGAGAGACGGATAAATTGTGGTAATCATCACAGAAATTTTATGGAAGCGAATTTTACAGGCTATCAGAAAAGGACTTTCACCTAAATGATTCAAGCACCACCTAAACAACTTTGTCACACACACACACACACACAAACTGATAAACCTGCAAAAACCACTGAAACAAATATCAAGCAATTTTCATGCTTTAAATTGTAAGATTGCCTGATGTCTACATGTTGAAGTAGTGTAAACATGCTGAAGTCCACTGTCTGTTTCTAACTATTAAACTATATACACACAGAAAAAACTGTAAGAACCTGCACAACAGGTTTTCATGTGTTGTACAGATTACAGTGATAACAGAGGACAGATTTCATCGCTTCTCCTCTAACTCCAGTACAATACTTCTGTGCATCACGCTAAACAAAAATAGCTTCTCCTCTAACTCCAGTACAATACTGTGCATCACGCTAAACAAAAATGGACCACACAGAATAAATAGTGACATTTTAATTGATTCTAGAATTAATTTACTATTAGCTACAAGGCTTGGATCCACTTTGCTATTGATTGCCAACAGTGATTGGTATAAAACATTCTTCCCTCAATATTTATGTCCAGTATGACCTGACTTTTTCATCTGTGTAGCTTTTTATATCCATATCCTTAAAAATGCCCTTAAGAAACCCTGCAAACAACCCAACATGCAGCTATTTTTTCCCCAGAATTGGAGCTGTTTCAGTGAAATGATTCTTCATCCCCTGAACTGAAAATAAAAACTAGATTTTGCATTTTCATTACTTTTACATTTAATTGTTACATAACTTTAAAAACAAAGTTGTGGCCAGAGTGCAAGCATGCAGATGATACTCAGCTAATGAGAACCATAGCGGAAGGAAGGAAAGTCTTCTCAGGTGCTGCTTTAATAAATTAAAAAACACACAAGCCAGAAGTGTCCTTCCACCGCAGTGAGATAAACAATGAGACAGGCAATGCTTACTTCTTAATATGCACATGTGAGCGTCAGCGCTAATGTGTGTCTGTGCTCGTTTCCCCAGAGAGAGACAGCGGGGGACGCATCAGAGTCAGCGCTGTTGAAATGCATGGAGGTGTGCTGTGGGAGTGTTAAAGACATGAGAGCCAGAAGCCCCAAAGTGGCAGAGATCCCCTTTAACTCCACCAACAAGTACCAGGTGGGTAATTGAAGGGGCTGATGTGATATCACACTTTAGCTGTGGAACTGCTGCTGATGCAAGTCTAAAGTGAAACTGCAACAAGTTTAGAGACAAACAGGTTTTTGCCAAATACCCCAAGGTGATTTTTTTTTTATTTCCTGTGTTGTCTACTGTCTTCATGTGAAGTCCAAAACCCAGTGATATTTAATTTACAGTGACATGAAGCCAAGTTTTTTGGTTAAATTGAGTGCTACAGTTACTACGGTTTTAAATTTACACTTGTATTTATTGATTTAAATATTCTCTACTTAATTTCCTTTTAGATCTAGTGAGACTCAGAACAAACTGACATCCTAAGCTGCTTCTAACAGCTCTTTGCCCCTCCCCTCCTCACAACTATGCAAACTACGGATGCCTGGTTGTGACAAACTGTACAAAATGCAGCATGAAGTCTGAAGCTAGCCTTAGCTGACTAATGAGTAAATGTGTCAGTCCAGTAGAACGCTCCGGTTACTGCTAATGCGAAACAAAGCACTAAGGCTGTTTTCACATTAGGCACCATGCATGTAGCTGGTCTGTAGCCAGGTGGCACAGCAGAGCAGTGGTTAGTGCTGTCACCATACAGCAAGAAGTTCTAGGTTCGAGCCTGGGCTGACTCAGGGCCTTTTGGTGCGGAGTTTGCATGTTCCCCTGTCCCTCAATGGGTTCTTTCCGGGTCCTCCAGCTTAATCCCACAATGTCAGTTGAGGAATGAGCCCTGTAAAAGACTGGTGACCTGTCCAGGTGGACCCCCGCCTCTCACCCAGTGTCAGCTGGAGATGGCTCCAGCACCCAGGGCCCCAATGTGAAACCACTCTAACATTATACAAAGCTTAAATTACTTCCAAATTAAAATCACATTAATTGTTACAAAGGTAAAAATCATGACCATGCTCGGTCACAAATGTTACAAACACATTAGCTTTAGATGCTAACACATCCATCCACATCTTTTACAGCAGCACCCTCCTTTACATTCATATGGTCCACACTCAGGCTTTGAAGTTGCCCAACACGCCCCAAACAGAGACCACACATGACACAACAAAATCAGAATTCACAGCTCCAGTCTGCTACACTTCTAATGACCTTGTGCACATGCATATTTTTGCCTGGTTGTTTCACAATGAGGACCAGGACATATGGCTAAAATATTTAGAAAAATCCTCTTGTTAATAAACAATAGAGCAGAACAGCTGCTTCTGTAGGGTGTTAGTTTAAGCGGCATGCTTTGTTACATCCTGTAGGAGTCAACAACAACACTGGCAACAAATACAGTGTTAATATCGAACAGTAAAAAAGCCATCACACTAGGCTTTAACACTTTACTCAAGGACACCACAGCAGTTAATGCAAGGTGAGTGTTTTTGCTTCAGTTTCCACACCCAGTCTTTCCCACCCCGTCTGGAGATTTGAACCAGCATATGAATAACAGAGCAGCAATTCTGAAGCAAACAAAGGACTTCCTGCACACATTTTGTGTACCTGTTCCCTGTCTTAAAATAGGAACATCTGTGCTGGGGGGGAAAGCAATTTTGCTCTGGTTTTCTGAGATTAGATATGCTCTGACTCAGACACAAATTACTCAGGAGTCTGCGTCTGTGTGTGTGTGTGTTTGTTGGGGAATGGGTAATGCCACAGGAATGCAGGTGAGAGTGTGAATGATTCGCTCCTTCGACACAGGGAATACATATGACTTACAGCATGCACCCAGTCAAGTCAGCTTCGATAAGACTTTTATTTCACAGCACTTGGAAAAATATGACAGCAGCTCGCTAACAATGATTGCTGACATAAGCGTGGAATTCACTGCTGAGTATCAGTTTAGAACATGTCTGTCTTGAGCCTTTTTCTTACTACATCATCATTTTAAACCAGCAATAAACTACATGTTTGATTTAGTTTCAAAATAGATTCTGTCATATTATGTCCTCACCAGTCTTGTTCTCCCCCCTTGCCCTCTGCCTTTCTCAGCTCTCTATCCATGAAGTGGAGGACAGCCCCCCCGGTCATATTCTGGTTATGAAGGGAGCGCCGGAAAGAATCTTGGACAGGTTGTAAATCAATAATGGATCAATTATATGTCGCACAAGTGTGCAGCTGAAAATGTTTCACTTTTTTTATTTACCTTCTTCTTTCCCTGTGATGTAGTGAAAGAAAAACCTGTTAAAGGATGGTGTTCTTCTATTTGTTCCTTATTGTCAGTTAATCCCATGAAAACAACTAATGAATTAATGCTACTAGCAGAACCATTAACACCACATTGGTGAGCCACTGCGTTTCTTCATCACCTTCATCACCACACACAATTTATTTTGAGCCAAACCCAAGGACACCGTTGTCCTGCCAGAAATATTCACTGGATCACTGCTTTATTGAGGCCATATTCTCATACCATGACACTTAATCTGACTTGTGCTCAGCCTAAATGCCCCTGGTTAGTCCAAGTGTCCCTCTAGGTTGACCTTTGGGTAAAAACAAATCCTAATTCCTACCTTGTCTTTGCACCTACGTTGTTAGACAGTCTGAGTACACCAGTGTCACAAAAAGGCTGGTATAAATACTTGATGTTGATTGTATTAAAAATGAGTCCTGTAAAAAGAACAAAGTTCTGCTTTTCTGAAAACAATTTCTGTTTCAACTGGGGTCATAGGGTTAGGGTTAGGGGTTGGATGGGATGTGCAGAGAAGCCAGTGTTTGTAGTTGTATTTGCTGAGGCAGAAAAGTTATTTCTATTTGAATAAAGTGGAAATAGGGTTAGCAATCCAGTTTTTGTATTATTATACTTCTCATTTTATGATATTTAATTGTTAATACTATATCAGCCTGACAGGAGAACACTGGTATAATCTCAAACAGGCTTTGCTGCATCTGCATCTTCTAAGTTGAAACAGTGCACAACAACTTTGTGGGAATAGCTATAAATAGTTCTGTACTTCTTCATTGTGATATCAGCAACAGTTTGACACACGGGCTGAGTGAGCAGTGAGCACAGCGTGTAGGCAAACTCACTAGTAACTACACAGTCAGAGATAACGTAGGCCGCTCTGTCAAACAAACTCCGCTCCTCATACTGCAGGTCCAACAGGAAAACAAAAGGCATTATAATACCTCAGCAAACCAATTAAGGTAAAAAGAACCAAATCAAAACAAAACAGCGGTGTAGCAATGTATTGCATTTTGCCTAATGCCTGTATTTTAATCAGGCTGTGCTCTCTCTACTGTTGTCCTCCTGTCATGTCAGCACAAGCAGCTACAACAAATACCCACCACACTCACATTTGGACACTAGCAATCTGAAATGTTCCTTTTTTAATTCCTGAAATTAAATAACTTTTTAAATATTTGTACAAAATAAATATTTGCTTTACCAAATACTATACACTGAACAGCCATAACATTATGACCACCCTCCTAAAACTGTTTTACATAGGAGTCAACGCAGTAGTTGGTCGACACTCGTGTCACACTGCAGCTCACTGTGCATCTTTTGTGAATCCGTTTGCTTCCATAGTTCTACTGTCAGGAAGGAGCATGAATGTGTCGACCATTCAATGAAGAATTTATGTAACAGGAGTGAAGATTGTGGTCCTGAAGACAAGTTAGAGAGAATTTTTTAGACTCATTCACCTGCCTCTCCTCCCTGGGTGTGATATCATCACTATAGCTACTGAATGTTTCTCTTTATAGAGACCAGTGAAAAGTATTTCTCATTTTCAACCAGTTTAACAAAGGTTCAAACTAAATGGAATCTTTTGAAAATGATGAATGAAATTTAAAAGTTTAATCTACAGTAGGTCAACCTCATCATCAGTGAGCCTTGGGCGTCCACAACCCTGTCTCCAGTTCACTGCTTGTCCTTCCTTAGTCACTGTTGGTTGCTACTAACCACTGCAGACTGGGAACACCCAACAGGACCTGCAGTCTGGGAGATGTTCCGACCCAGTCGTCACAGTTTGGCCTTTGTCAAAGTCACTCAGATCCGGATGCTTGTTTGTTTTTCCTGCTTCCAACACATCAACTTTCAGGACTGAATGTTCACTTGCTGCCTAATATTACCCCACACACTGACAGGTGCCACTATATCCAGGTGATCAGTGTTATTCACTTCACCTGTCAGTGGTCATAATGTTATGGTTGATCATTGTATTCGAATTTGGCTTCACCCTTTTTATCCACATGAAACATGATCACTGATTGATTTTATTGTGACTTTGTTGTTTTCCAGCAATCTCATAGATATTAGTAGCAGTTAAAGTATCATTAACACATGTGTTACAGGTGCAGTACCATTATGATCCATGGCCAGGAGTGTCCACTTGATGAGTACTGGAGAGAATGTTTCCAGAATGCCTACCTGGACCTGGGGGGGCTTGGAGAGAGAGTGCTCGGTATGTGTTTGGTGGCACCAGCTATTATCATCATGTCTGAGAGTAGGTAGTTGGGAGAGGTAGTTGGACACAGCACTTACCTTTTATAATCTCCTTTGGTAAACAGGGTAGTTTGGCCAAATGTTCCTATAAAAGTGCAGAATGCTTTTGTTGCAGCAGTGTAAACCAAGAAGAGGTTTTTGGTACCGCAGTCTAAACCAGAGCTGCAATCGACTGACATGGAGTCAAAAATGAAATTAGTACTGTTACAAAAATGTTCTGGTGTTGTTTGGATTATCACCTGATAATAAACTGATATTTTAATTACAGTCAAATTCTGCTTTGGACTTTATTATTTTTTGCACATGATGTAACGTTTCCCTTATGAAATGCCTTAAAATCATTACCTGTAGTTCAAATGTTCAGACGCTGTAGATGTCATCACTTTGACAACCAGGGGAAAAAGTTACATGACATCACTTTAAAAAGTGCAATGGGTGATAATTATATCCTATCAGCATTTCGTTGGTACTGTAGGTGTCACTTTGTCAAACAGTGAAATGTGGATAGTGCCAGTTTTGGAGTGAAACTCCCGACATCACAGCTCAACATTTAGGTTGAGCCTTGTTTTCCATCAGAAGCATTTTATTTTGGTTTGCTCAGTTCAGAAGATACATATTTCAAAGCCTGCTGATCATGAATTAATAAAAGCAGATGATTCAATTTGTATTTCTGACCTACAACTTCCAAGTCTGCACGTAAAATTAAAAATGATTTGTATGCACATGATAAGGTAAAGGATCGTTGCAGCCAGAGGACAATGCATTTTCTTTAAGATCTCTTTCAAATTTATATTTCTTTGGAGTGTTATTCTGTAAATAGCAGAAGCAAAAGACAGTTGTGGATTTAAAACATCCTTTCGGTCATGGAAAATGAGTGTTCTTCTTAAAGCGCTAGGTAAATTGTCAGTTAATGTCAAAGAAACAAAACAACAAGGTTTTTATTTTCCATAGCTGCAGCACACAGTGCTGTGAGATGTCATTTCAGTCAGTTGTGAACAACCGCCTCACTGATCCTTCTTCTCTCACAGGCTTCTGCCACTTGAATCTGTCCTCATCTCAGTTCCCTCGAGGATTCACCTTTGACTGTGAGAACACGAACTTCCCCATCGAGCAGCTCTGCTTCCTGGGCCTCATCTCAATGATTGATCCGCCGCGTGCTGCTGTGCCTGACGCAGTGGGTAAATGCCGCTCTGCTGGCATCAAGGTAATTGGTTCCACAGATTCAACTATCACTGTAGTTCCTGAAAAGCCTTTTCCTGGGGGTTCACTTAGTGGATGTCTTAGGGAATGATTTTGCATGTCAGATGCCTTTTCAAATCACAGAATGGAGTCCAAATGAGTAGCGATCACTCCAAGGGGTCCTGATAGATTATCAATGGATAAATCAAGTTCTATTGCTAAGACGAAGCCATTGATAACACATTCAGTGAAAAAACTCTGGACACTCATAGTAGCAGTAGCATCGTGAACAGTTTTGAGGCTGTATGCTCATTTCTCCCAGGTATGACTGTTTTGTTGTAGAAATGAGCAACACAGTAGGAATAAATAAACAGATTTATGACCAGGAATTGAATTTCTGAGGTGAAATAAAAAGCAACGACAGGCGAAAACATTCATCTTATGAAAGATTTCATTTAGTAAAATGTGGATTTATTGCAAGTTTTCATTAAATGGTATTCAAGTGCAAATCCTCAGAGAGAAGATGTTTTGTCAGAAAAGTAATAAGCCAGGCCACAGGAAGGTTAAACAACTTCCAGCGGAGATAGAAATGGATAATGAGTAGAATGAGGCAATCCAATTTAGGGGGAACTGCTACAAATGTGGAAAAGGGATTTTGCACTTTTAATTTCAGGTGCAGTTACCGTGCTTCCTTTTTAACAGACACGCTTTAATTGGCTTAAAGAACAAGTGAAGATGTTGCTATTGCTTAAATGGAGAAAACGGCTGAGGAGTTTATACCAAAAATGCAACAAAACCAGTGACATGTCTGATAGTGTTAAAAGGCAGTTTTCTATTTGCAGTATATCAGCTGTGTTTGTATAAACTATCCTCTCTGCTTTTACCTGTCTTTTGACAAAGATCAGAAGTGATGGAAAACTTTGTTACATAGGTGATGAAATGAAAATCTACTTTTTAGTTAGGTCTCTGCCAATTCATTTTATTTGGATGATTGCAAAGCTGCTGAGATGTTGTGCTGCTGGCAAGCCTGTCCACAGTGCTCACCAAAGGCAAAGTATTTCCAGTCTTTTTCCCTTGAGCCCACGCCAAACTCTATTTTCTTTACGCTATACCTGTGCAGTTGAACTCCTAAGCCCTAATAAGACCATTCTTTTCCACTGTGACTACCCCAGACATTTGGATGACTTATAGACCCTAAAGGCCCAGACTGTACTGCAGCTCAAGCAGCTGTGACACATGACATAACGATAAGATACAACAGGCTTTAATGTCATAATGCTCTTTGATTTATGAGAACTTCTGCCTGGTCAGGTGATCATGGTCACTGGTGATCACCCTATCACAGCCAAGGCCATCGCTAGAGGCGTGGGCATCATCTCTGAGGGCACCGAGACGGTGGAAGACATCGCTGACAGACTGAACATCCCTCTGAGCCAAGTTGACCCCAGGTGTGTGTGTGTGTGTGTGTGTGTCACAGGAAGTGTGCTCAAGTGTGTAAGAGTTAATTCTGTAGTTCATAAGTAAATCAATATCCTCTTATCATTCAATTCAGCATGAAGCTGAAACCAGCAGCCAGTTAGTTTAACTTGGTATAAAGACTAAATACTGCTACTACCAGCAGCTCTAAAGAAAACCAAAGGGAGAACCCAAATGGAGGGTCCCCTCTTCAAGAATCAACAGACATGCAATATATGCTACAGTGTGTGTACAGAGTAACAGTAGATTCACAATATAGAAAACCAAACTGACTATTAATTATATAGGTTATGACAAGACTCCTGAGAGTCATAGATCTCTGCCAAGAAATAGCTCACAATCCCCTGTATATCCACAAATGATCTTTCTTTCTTTTTGTACAGATTAAACAAACAGGTGTGTAAATTATTGACACTTTGTGTGCTAGTAGTTGGAAGTGGATCACCTTTGGACAGAGCCAGGCCAGATGCCTCCCCCCCGTTCTTGTCATAACGTCAAGCCAAGCTAACCTGCTGCTGACTCCGGCTTTGTTTTAAATGGACAGGGTAACGATGGTGTCGTCCAGCTCTGCAAAAAAGCAAATATTTCCTAAATTGTTCAACTATTTCTTTAAGACACAGTGTGTGTGTGTGTGTGTGAGAGAGAGAGAAACTTAAAGTGAAAACAAGAAAATGGCACTGCTCCCCCTTTGCATCATCTCCTGTATGACCGACTCCTTATTATACATGCACTTGTGTGTGTTTCCCAGGGATGCCAAGGCTTGTGTGGTGCATGGCTCGGACCTTAAGGAAATGAGCTCTGAGTACCTGGATGACATACTGAGGAACCACACTGAGATAGTGTTTGCTCGCACCTCTCCTCAGCAGAAGCTCATCATTGTGGAGGGCTGCCAGAGACAGGTCAATGGACACGAGTGTGTGTGTGTTTGGCTCTTTTTGATAGTGTCTTGCAGAAAAGAGATGTGTGTATTTAAATGGTCAAATGTAAGCATGTGTGTGTTTGTGATAACGTTCGAATGAATGCTTGAATGTGTCTCTGTGTAAGTGTGGCAATGTGGTTGAATACAGGTGTGTGTATATGAGTGCAAGTGTGTGTCAGTGCCATTTAAGGCTGAATACAGTTTTGTGTGTGTGAGGGTATCTGAGCTAATTGTTAGCACAGGCGGTTGAATGGACTGTTGGATTGTTTATGTGTAGTTGTGCATGCTAAGGAGGCCTGTAGGTGAGTCTGTGTTGAATACAGGTGTGTTTCTGTAAAGTATGTAATCACCTACATATGAAACTCCTTTATTAAACCCTATATACACACACCTTAATGTATGTGCTCTGCTTTTATGTGTGAAATGTTGGAAACAAATCTCCACATATTGAGGTCATGCTACAATTCACTCTGATTCACTTACTCTCACTTGGTGTGAGTGAACGATTGCAACTCAGTTCCATTTTTCATTTAATCTCCCCAGAGCTGCTTTGAAAAGACATTATTAAGACCGAAGGGGAGGACGAAGGAGAGAGAAGCTTAAATCATGATACTTATTTTCTGTTCTTGACACTTTTTTTGTTCTCTGGTCCTTGTGCGTGCAGGGGGCGATCGTGGCTGTGACGGGTGATGGCGTGAACGACTCCCCAGCCCTTAAGAAAGCTGACATTGGCGTTGCCATGGGGATCGCCGGCTCGGATGTGTCCAAGCAAGCAGCTGACATGATCCTGCTGGATGACAACTTTGCCTCCATCGTCACTGGAGTTGAGGAGGGTGAGTGTGAGGGAATGACAGAGGGTGACAGAAAGGAAGAATCAACGAAGGTGGCAAAGAAAAAGGACACAAAGCAAGACAAGGCCAGAGGAGAGTTAAAAACTTAAAATTTCTTCCAGCAAGCATGTACTGTAGAATAGAGACTGGAAATTACTTTTAAATGACCATTCAATGCTCACCTAAATACCTCAAAATTGAAAAGTGATATGAGTATGCTTGTGGTTGATTTTGTAAAATGGGTAACAAAGCTCTCAAACTGATTTGGACTAGAGTCAGAATTCAGTCACAAAAGTTAGGACTTTACCAGATTAGGTCTTACTTAAGACTTGACTTTCTAAAGACCTGAGTTTTTAAAGGAAAAACACTGGAATTTTAAACTGGTAAAAACCCAGGATAATAATAATGAAATAAGAAAGCACCAGCCAGGCTTTACACATTTTATTACCTGTGTAAAGAAATTAGTTTTCAGCTGCAGTGTGTTAAGAACACTATTAACAGCTTTGAAAAGAAATTGTTCAAGTGCATTGTTACTTTTGATCAGCATTCAGAAACCTGAAAGACTTGCATTTTCATCTGCAATTTGCTTAATAACACTTTTGAGTTGACACAGCTTTGCCCTGAAGGACCTGAATTGAGAGTTGCCACAAGAGACTGGAGCTTAATCAAAAGTAGGGCTGGCTAATTCAGTCATCTTTAAAAAGTTCTTTAAATTTGAAAAATCACTTGATGAAGCTTGTAACATCAGGAAAAGGCCATTCCAAACTACACCACTGTATTATGTAACCAGTTTCTAATGACAGATCTCAGTATTATGAATGCATCGGTAACACATCTCCCAGCTCCACTTTGAACTATTCTTTCTTGTTAATCGCTGTAGGTCGTCTCATCTTTGACAACTTGAAGAAGTCTATTGCATACACACTAACCAGTAACATCCCAGAGATCTCACCCTTCCTCCTCTTCATCATCGCTAGTGTTCCTCTTCCTCTGGGAACGGTCACCATCCTCTGCATCGATCTGGGCACTGACATGGTGAGCTCCGCCTCTCACTTCACTTTGTAGCAGTTCCAGAAACAGATCTCCTTCATTATCTAAATTAGCACGTTTGTTTAAGTGCCTGGCGAGTCTGCTGCCAAGCCTTTCTAATGCACTAACTGCTTACTCACTTTCCATCCTGGACTTCTAGAAGCTGCTTTTCTGTGTTCTTAATTGAGAAATTATAGCTTTTTAGGCAACTTTCAACCTCTCTATACATGTTCCATTACAGGAATTTTACAGGGCATAAATTCAAAGCATAATGTCATAGATTTTTCTTTATTATACTGCAGAACCTTTTCGGTGTGTGGAACTAATTGTTGGCTAATATAAGTGATTTTTTTCAATGAAAGGATGTTAATTATTAGCATGTTGCACAGCTACAGGCAAGTTAAAGGTGAAATTAGAGGAAATGATGTTATTACTGGTGTCAAATATAAGTGCCTTAAGGTAAAAAGAACAAAATGCTTGGTTTAATTTGTTTTTTCTGTCAGTGGGAGAAATGTGCTTCTGGCTCACCAGTGACGTCCATTTGTTCAAGCAGAACAAAGACTGGGTGACACTCACATACAGATTTTCATTTTACTGATTTACACAGCTCTGCCATTTCCAGATGCCAGTCTCTTCATTGTATTACTAGCAGCAACAAAAAGAGTTGCTGGCATGCTGCTTGCCTGAGGGGTGTAATCCATCATTGCAAAAGAAAGGAAGCACACGATGAATATATTCAAAAGGACTTGTTCAGTTGTGTTCATTACCTTTTAATATTTCCTGCTCTTAGCCACCAGATATTAGCATGGCACCAAAACTGGTTCATATACATCACAGTGAGCCAAAAGCAAAGGTTTTACAAGTAATGAGGTTCATGTATTATAATGGTCTCTGCCAAGAAGCACTTTAAATCTCCACAGGTTAAAGATAAAAAGGAACATCTTGCTCACATTGTTAATAAAGCAGTTCCACTTTTTTTTTTTTTTTTTTTTTTACTCAGGTGACATTAAAAATGAACTTCTTTGGTTTTCTGGCAGCGGGACAGATTTGTTCATGTTGACAAATGTTTACTTACCCTGTCTGAGATCACAGTGATAGTGCACTCTTTACTGGCTGGATTTGTCTTTAAGGATGTGATGACTGAAGCTTAAAAGCACCTAATTTGTGCACCTGTTCTACATATAAAAACTCTTCCCTTCAAAGTACCATGTCTGCATGTACTTAATAACCACTGGTGAAGTGAACAGCTGGATGTCTGCTTTGAAGACCAGGACCCTAATATCAAACTATTTAAATATTGAATAAAGTACCTGAAAGTGTTTATGGTACCACAGACAAGTAAAACTACAAATTTCCCTCGTCTGTTGCCAAAGTTGTTAACAGCTTGTTAACAGCTTAGTTCAACTGAGGGCTACGGGCTTGAGGGCTCTGCTGAGATTTAGCGGTGACAAGCAGAACTTGGAGTCTGCTATGATTATTTTTAGCACGCACCGTCATGTGGAAAATGATGGCTGCAAAAGATGTTTTTCAAAACAAGATGTGGCGAGAATGCTCCTTGACTTAATTTTGCACACAATCACACACAGGAACACACATTTTCAGAGGCGTAAAAAATCAATGCCAGGCGTAATCATAGCCTTTTCCCTCTCCTTGTCTTTCTCAACTGCTGTGGGTCAGAGGAGTGTAACGCCAAAACCAACTGGATTTGTAGACCACAGAGCATGTGTTCAGTCTCTCGCAGAGCCAAGTCCCCAACTCAAATCCCATCTAAGTCACAGGGATTTTCTGCCCTAAGTCACACATATTGCTCTGTTGGTCACTCGGTAAAACCAGCCAATATAAGGTCTTTATTATAGGGACCTTTCTAGTCTTCTATTTTATGAGTGTCTGTTTCTCTCTCCTCCCGCTTCTCTCTCCATCACTGTCACTGCTTCGTTTCCCCTCTCCTTGCCTTTTCTCCCTCCACACAGTGATTGAGTGCTGAATTATATTAATAGTCATCTGTCTAGTCTACCCTGTGTCTGGCACTGTCATCATGCTTTTATACTGATGCCACAAAGACAAATTTCTACACATTTGTTGTACAGGGTGCATAAAGTGAGTGGATTCTGTTCTGTCCTCCCATTACCTCCAGGTTCCAGCTATCTCACTGGCTTATGAGACAGCGGAGAGCGACATCATGAAACGCCAACCGAGGAACCCCAAAACAGACAACCTAGTGAATGAGCGTCTCATCAGCATGGCCTATGGACAAATAGGTTTGTCTTCTTGTGTCTCATAACCTCTCTGTACCACAGCTGTTCACCCTGAGTCACAAGTGACAGGCCTCTTGTAGTGAAGTTATGGTGATAATAAACATCACAGATATAAAAACATTAAATACTGACATTTATCAGAGCCTCTGGTACATCTTACTGCTTTGTAAATGTTTTAGTACATATAGCAAAGGAAGACAGATCCAGAGGTGAGCAGACAGTCTGGAGAAGGTTTCACAGTTTTCTCCTAATTGTTGTGATATTTACAGCAAATTGAGAGCAGGAAGCACAACTACTTTCTTTCACTTAATCTTGGTCATGTTTAACTGGTTAGAGCTTCATTTGAATGCATGGCTTTTATCTCTAAGTTTATATGGTTTGGGAATAGTGAAAAATCAAAGGCTGGCCCAATTTCTTAGACTGTTAAATAGGTCGAAATATGACAGGGTTTCACTGGATCACACACAGTTTAAAGCTGAAAACAGCTTGCGGCTCACATAGGCTCCCGTAATTCTTCCAAGATGAGCACTACTGAGGGAAAACATTTGCAGGTCACATCAAATCACATTTCCAAACCACTGCTCTGACATTACAGCTTGAAATCCTGAAGCTTCCACAATGAACACCTGATGACCTGATCTAGAGTGACACACGGTGAACACACCAGCGTAGAACGAGGCGAGCAGCAGTGTCTCGAGCATCCTCCTCTGAGGAAACGTAACAGCAAGAGTGGCATAGGGATGTTAACATCTGTCAACAACAACATGGACCTGGCACGGAGTTTCACAGCATAATGAAGGAGACATTTAATAAGTGTCGTTTCAATCTTTGATCAGTCCTCGTGGAGGTTTGGTATTTGTGAGGATCTATGCTCTAAAATAAGATGGCCTTCATGTTGAAAATGTTAGCATGACAAAACAAATTTACCAACATGAAATTAAAACTCGCTATCAGCTGTTATTGCTGTCCTCAGCTGTCTGCAGCTATTGTCTTACAAAAGAGCAGGACGGTCGAGGGCAGAGAGAGGAAGCAATAACAGCCAATCACCTGTGCTCTTTCTTTTTTATATTAAGTGACAAACCTCAGGTGCAGTGAAACTGAATATCCAGACTCTAAATCTTCTAGGGATAAAAGTCAATTTAGTTGTCATAATTTGATATAACTCCTGTAAATAAGTGATACAGATATATTGGAGTACAGTATATTGTGTACTGTCAAATGACACCTATTACCTAGAAACCCTATTATTTTGCGACTTATTCTATGAAACCATTGCTCCTGTCCCAACAGAAATCCAGTGGCGCATACTATAATTTACAAAGTGGTCTTGTATCAATCCATCAGTTAGCCACACCCACTAATTGTCTTTTATCCTACAATCCCAAAATTAATTCAATAGCGGTTTTAATAGCCCTGAGATTACTATCTCACAAATAAAGTGGGGAACACTGACTCTCTATGGTGTCCTACTCAGGTCCTAATCATTTTCCAGTTTCTAGTTGTAACTCAATACTCATTACAGTGAAAATAGAGACAGGTTTGACTGGTACCCTTTGAATGAACTGATTATAGTTAATTACTTAAACCAGCAGAGACTTTTAGTCACTGCACCACAGGTCTAAGAACAAAACGAGCATACAGTCTGACATACATTAAGAATAATTTCCAATAAAAAATGAGTGATTAATGCATATTTTCTTGGATTTAAGTCAAACAGGTTTTTCAAAGAAAGTCCTTGGCTTATAAACCAAACACAACTAATTAAACTTGAACTAAAACAGCCTAAACAATAAAACATGTACATTTTTAATCCAGGTATGATCCAGGCTCTGGGGGGTTTTTTCACCTACTTTGTGATTTTGGCTGAGAATGGCTTCCTCCCAAGAACCCTGGTAGGCATCCGCCTCAGCTGGGACAGCCGTGAAGTCAACGACCTGGAGGACAGCTATGGGCAGGAGTGGGTAAGGAAAAGGCACCAAAACAAACCAGTATGCCCTCTGAATGTTTCATGCAGGAATGAATACAGTGCATGTTTCAACCCTGGCAGACCTATGAGCAGAGGAAGATCATTGAATTCACCTGCCACACCGCCTTCTTCGCCAGCATTGTTGTTGTCCAATGGGCTGATCTTATCATCTGCAAGACCAGGACGAATTCCCTCTTTCAGCAGGGAATGAAGTAAGTGAGCGAGGAAAGGAGGACCATTGGAGAAAAAGATGAACCAAAGGCTGTGAAACTGGTTACATAGTATGCATCTCTGCTCTTGTTTTCTATCTGTCTTCACTATCAACTGTCCAATAAAGGCAAAAAATGCCACAAAATAATCTCTGAGAAGGACATGAAGTCAAATAGTTAGGAAAGAAGGAAAAGAAAAATGATCAACATAAATATTACAAGTTTAGCTTATTTGATAATTGTCTTTTATCTTGACCATTGTCTGTATCTGATTTGTCTTTGTTTTTTTGCTGAACAGGAACAGGGTCCTGATCTTCGGCTTGTTTGTGGAGACTGCTCTGGCTGCCTTCCTCTCCTACTGCCCTGGAATGGATGTTGCCTTGCGCATGTACCCTCTGAAGTATGCTCTGCATATGCATATCCCCACTGAACCGAAAAATAACCTTTTAAAGACCTAATAATCTGCCATTAGTCTGTCATTCTCCAAGTCTGTGATCTTCTTAAACACCACCTTGTTATCCTTAATATTCAAAAATGGCTGCAGTGAATTTAACAATTTGCTCTCTGTCTGTAACTCAGTCACTTTATTTATCTTCGCCCTGTTATACTCTTTTTCTCTTCCTCTCAGGACCCTGTGGTGGTTCTGTGCCTTCCCATACAGTCTTCTCATCTTCATTTATGATGAGGTCCGCAAATTCATTCTGAGAAGGCACCGTGGAGGTAAGCAGTTATTAAGAGTAAGTAAGATTAAAAGGGTTTAGCCTTTGTCTTGTTATTAAGCTAGAAGAAAAAAGAACTGCTAAGTGAAGGTATACGGTTGGCATTCCTATATCAAAGGTTACGCACCATTTTCCTTTATGACCTTTTGTCCCATCCTCTCTGCCTTCCTATTGACCTTGTACAAAATAAACATCCTAAAAGTAGACTGTTCCTGCTTTAAGGACACACTGACAAACTCAGCACAGCTCTGCTCGACTGATCTGACCTGAAACATTTCAGCGAGCATTTAACAGATGATGACAGGCAGGAGAAGATCAGATTCATTCCAAAAGAGCACAACAAATTTTAAAATAAAAACAGAAACGACCACTTTGAACAGAGATCAAAAAGAAAAGCACAGGGACCAATTTTACAAAACAGTGTTGGCAGCAATTATAGATGATTAGCGATGACAAAGGATCAAAGCTTTTGTTTGGCATCATATTGAAATCAACATTGGTACCAGCCGTCATATTGAAATCTTTGTCACTTTTTTTTATGGGATAAAGTTCACGATGCAGATTTTCCACTTCACATAGTTTTCCTGGCAAATTCTAAGATAATCATTGGCATTTTTATGTAAATTGCAAAGCAGGAATTTTCGCCTAAAAGTCATTATTCATCCTACATTTAACCACAAAGCAGAGTTTAGGCCTTAACCTTAACAATATGTATAACTATAACTATATATTCCAGCTGAACGCAAGCCACTCAATGCTGAACAATTCTCCTCCAGCCTCTGCAACACTTGACTTTGTCTTGCAGGTTTGATTTCTCACAAAATAGCATATAATTGCACTGCTGTCTGGCAGGTTACTTGGGAGCTCCATTGGATAATGGTGCATAAAATCACAGCCAATAAACAAGAAAAGATCTAATGGTGAAAATCACACATCCACATCACCACTGAAATCTAATTTGATTAGATCAAGGGTTGAATGTGCACCAGATTTCAACTAAAGTCCTTAGTTTTTCATATCTTACTCCCAGCTTTATTGATAGCAGCAGTTAAGAGTAATTATAATAGATTTGAACTAAAACTGACATCAAAAACCACTGGCATTGTGCCCTTTGTGAAATAACAGACATGTAGTGGGTAATGTTTGTGTATAAACCCAGCTAGTGTTATGTAAACCTGCACCAGAAAGCAGATTATACCTTTCCAACGCCAGAAGAACAAGTAGCAAATGATGAGAAAGGAAATTGAAGCGGGCTGATGACGACTCTTGAGATATGGCCTAAAGATCATGCACATGATATGGACACACTACAATAGCTGAAAACCTGTTCAGCATCATCGTGTTGCAGTGGATGAGGGCCAAGATATGGGGAGACAAATACAATCTATCATGACAGTTAATCATTTCTGTTAATCTGTGTGCCATGGGCTGCTGATCAGAGTCCTGGAGTTCTAAGGGGATTCATTTGGAAAATGTACAGAGACAAAGGCAATGAGATGCATACAAATAGAGTGATACAAAAGGATATTATGAAAACCGTTGTCTCCACCTTCTCCTCATCCAGGTTGGGTGGAGCGCGAGACATATTATTAACATTCAGAAAGTGTCACTTTGAATTGCATGTCTGTGAGTGTGCATGGGTGTCTGTGTGTGTGCGTGGGTGTACTGTATGTTTGTGCTTGTGTGTTCTTGTGCAGTCAGAAATGTGTGTGTCTGTCAGCTGTAATATTGCATGGATCAGTTCACAAATCTGATTATCATAAAAAAAAATACTGCTGAAAATAGGCTTTTGATTGTGCTTAGAGTTTTTCTTTTCTTTCCTTTTTTGTTTTGCTTTGTTTTATCAGAAGACATTTCCAGCAGAATAATGGTAATGTACACCTTTGTGCCTTACATGAACTATTACAAAAGTGATGTATCATGGCCTTTTTGGCTATAAAGAAATACCAAATGTGAAATGTACCAAATAAAACCCATCCCTGGCCATTGTTTGAGTTATTATTCATTCATTCAACTTGTTCATTATAATATGCAGGCAGCTACTGTATATGTACCTATAGGTGTAATATTTTCCAAACTGCATATTACTTGCTACTGTTTACCATTACTAAGGCTGCAATATTCAGGCATTTTTAATCATATAACTGCCATTTTACCTTTTTTTACTGCCTCCAAATACAATACAGATCTGGATTTGTATGTACCTACAGTATACCATATGAAGCCACTGTACATACTGCTACACAGGCGGACAATGACATTTGCTACCTTACTGTTAAATTAGTCAAGAGGAAATTTTGACAGGCAGCAAAGTATTATCCCCACACGCTGCTCAGCTCAGGAATCATCTCTCTGTGGAAGCAACTTGTTCAGAAATATTTAAATCTAAAGTCAGAGTGAACTACTCTGAAATTTTAATAGAAATGTGTTGCGGTTCTCATATGACCAAGCTAAGTCTTGCCTTCTTTGAATCCTACGTTTCTGCTTGTACGTTTTAAGAATAGTCCAGTCTAGAGCTGCCTCTGGGCATCATTAACCTTACAACCTACAGAAGTGTAAATGTAGCTGTCTGACTTTGTGTGTTGTGGGTATCTTGTCTGCTTTTAAAATGCGTGTTCCTCTGTGTGAGGTGACCAGGATACTAAAGCTGTGGACTTGTCTTTGACTTATGTTCAGTACTTTGAATCTTTCACTGTCTTCTCTCGGGGTCTCTACATATAGTGGTGTCATTACAAATGTTCTTCACATGTTGTCATATCCTTGTGTGTTGTTCACTTATTTGTTGTTTTCTTTATGTTTAATCAGTTCATTTCTATATGTTTAGTTAGTTAATTAGTTATGCACACAGAAGTGCCCAGCCCACAGACAGTAACACCAAATACTGTTTAAATGGTGGTACGTGTCAAACAAGAACGCAACACTTGACATTACATTGCAAACAAAGAACTTTGTCTTAATGTTGTCTATACATTAAATAAAAAATTTATTTAAATGATCAATAAATGTGCCTGCCTTTTTGATTAGATAAATAATTTTCTAGTCAATAAAATGTCAACAGTTGGTCAATGATCCATACCCCACAGTTGTTTGGCTCTCTGTACCATGACATCAGACAGCATAACATCTCAAGAAAATCCTCACACATGAAATGCTAGAAGCAGACTAAGATCTGTTTGCACCAGTGAAATGATACGTAGTCCTGTAGATGAGTAGTAACCGGGTGTTTGACCAACCGCAGGAGGTGAGGAGATGGAGAGCTGGGCTGAGCTGCGTAGGTGGGGTCAACGGTGATGGTTTTGCTGAAGGTAGAGACAGAGAGATGGAGGCAATAGTGGAATAGATAGGCGACTGTGCATTGACCTGCCTGGGAGGAGAGACTGGAGCCACGGTCCAGAGGAACAGTCCGTCGGGGAAACACAAAACAGTAGCTGGCTAGGGGATAAATACATACAAAACAATGACAACACACAGGGTAAGGTTGGCCTAGTGACTAGAAAGAACTGGCAAGTGACTGAGGAGTGAAACCGGGTAATATAGTGAGTGACCTAATCAAGTGCAGCTGGTGATAAGGGAGTGAGGAACAGGTGAACGTGATAAGAGTAATGGGGCAAGAGACAGTAGGAAAGGTGAGGGAGGCCAGAGCGGCCGAGCAAACCTGACACAGACAATGTTTAGCATTGCTTGAAAAACTACTTTAGTTATTAACTCACTGTCAGTTAGAAATTCAATTTGTAAGGTACCGTGTGCAATATATAGCAGGTATAATGGCAGAACAGCACTAAACAAACTAGGCAAACAAGACATAATCCCAAGTTACAGACCATAGCACATCACACAAGCCATATCAAAACCAAATGCATACAGTATTAGACATATTAATGACAAAGATATTTGTATACAAACCAATCCATTTATAAATATAACTATTATTAGTCAATAAAAAGTATCTATTAATCAACTAAGTTAATGATATCAGCTTCACTGACAGAAAGAAATTCTTTTACCCTTTAATTTATTGAACCCTATCAGTATTATGCATATATTTGTAAGTTATATTTATTTATTTTCTGCCATCTTTTCCAGTTAGATAGGTGGGACAATAAATACATTTATTTAGTGGCACACCAGTATTTAAATATTTGGGATGTAGTATTATGTCAAAGTCCAATTAGCTCATAAATAAAAATGAAAATAAAGCTGTGCCAACCTGATTGAAATTGGTGAGAATAATTTATCAGCAACTATAATAATAATAGACGTTCTCCACTTTATTAAAGCAAATGTATTTATTTACTAAAATGTCTGTATTAGGCTATTAATTTATGCCTTTTTGCCATAATTTGCAGTTGGAAAAGGGAGACAGCAGATTCTATACATACTCAGCTGCCTGTACATATAATTATGGTGGTGTGTGACATGATGTCAAATACCAGAAAGCTCATAAATGTGAATGACAGAAAATAATGTGTAAAACATAGCCTTTTACCAACACGCTGGGCTCACTTTGACCGACAGTGACCTGAAAACAACCAGTGAATGGCCAGTAATGACAACTTCCGGTAGCGTCATTTCCGTTTATTATGTGTGTCAAACATGGTGCTGCTTCTAAGGTCAGTAATTGCGTCTTTGGTGCATAACTTTTGGTCTCGGTTTTGCTAGCTTTTTCGGTCGTCTTTTCTAGTTATAATGGCAAATAGACTCATTTGCGGAACACCCGGGCTTATATCTGTAACAAGGTTGAGCGTGTCTTTTTATCTGGGTTCACTATCTTTATTTATCGTAACTAATATACGACAGAGCGCATAGCATTAGCTAGCGGGCTAACGCTAGCTGTTTTTGTGTCCATTGACAGCTAGCAGAAGGCGGACTTTGACTCGTATTTTTATTAATGACAAACTTAAACGGTTTCATGTGCAGCCTTCTCATGGTCCTTATTTGACACAAACGGTATTTCCCGTTGTTAAGCTTAATGTAGATACGAAGTCCCCTGACACTGCATTATATCCCTTTCAAACAAATTGAGCTGCAATATTTCAGTTTCGCTCAAATTTAAGTAAAAGCAGTTACATTATATTCCCTGTTTCACCAAAAGCTTAGCAAGTTCATTTTGACAGAACTGTAACAGCCTCATTTATGTCATGAATACACCGTGGAACAGAGCATATTTTCATTACTGTATGTATAGTAAAACATTCTGGGTTTATGTTTATTAGTTTTGTATTGTAGTTTTTAGGTTCTTGATTTTGGTATCTTGAAAGATAAACATGGCCTAGGCCTAAATACCTTTATCATACTAGATGTACTAATCTGACTGCTGACTTTGGTCTGTCTGAAAATTGCTAGTACGCACCTTCACTAACCCTTTTTTGTTTTTATTGAACTGTTGTGTACCCCTGTCTGGTGCCTGTAAATCTGTACACTTCATTTGACAATGTGATTATTGTTTTAAATTCATGGTTTTAATGGGGTTAAAAACCAGTGCTTCCTAATCAACATGTTTAGTTTTTTTTAGCTTGGAGGTAACTGACAATTGACATTATTGTACTAATTTTACCAGCAGGTTATCAAGGTATTAACCAAGTAGAAAGTCACACAGATCAACTTTTTTTACCTTAAATATTCTAGTCTAAGAAAACCAGTAATAGCATTAAAAACAATAAGCATTTAATTCATAATAAAATCAGTTAAGACAAAGGGAACATGAGATAGAATACATAAAAAGAAAATGATAGACAAGATAGATGGTCTGAAACAGAAATCTAGTAGTTACAGTGCATGAAGTACAGTAAGGAATAAGGTTCTCAACATCCAAAGTGCTAAAAACATTTTATCTAAAATATAGTAAGTTGAATGGGTGTTTTGGAAATCAGGCTGTAACAAGTATAACTTAGTGATTCATTGTCATGTTGGTGTAGACAAAATTTCTGTGATTGTTTTTTCACAGTATATTTTTTTTTTTTTTTTTTTTACAAATTTCATAAATATGTGCATGTACAGACATTTTCTCACCAGTGTTTTTCTATATTTTTGTGATACTTGTGCCAGAAATAAGAGTTATGCATAATGTGTTGATGTGCGTCACTCATGGCTTGTTTTTCTTTTATTGTTCTTGTTGTTCATTTTTGTTTGTGTTCTTGAACAGTCCTGTTATTAAAATTCATCCGTAAGAAAATGTGATGTGTACAAGATGCTATATGTCTTTTTTTGTTTTCACCATTATTAGACACAAGTCCCGATAGTAGGCCTTAATTCTAACACCTGTTGCTTGTGTTTTGTGTTTAGGACGTTGGGCCGTCAGGGTGTCTGTCTCTCCAGACCACAGTACGCTGTCCTCTGCAGACAGTAAGTTGTGTGTGTGCTTGTGAGATGGAGAACAATTTTGCTTCACACACTCAGTCTGTTCCTAATATGTACACTGTACTGCAGTAGCATCTCTATTCTAAATCCATTTTCTCTTCAATACAGTGTTGTCCCGATGGGAACCACAGCTAAAGAGGAGATGAACACATTTTGGGCCAAAAATTCCAGATCAAACCGACCCCTCTCTCCACATCTCACCGCCTACAAGTATGTACTGAATGTGGTCTGCATCACAGGGTGTAGCCTATAACAGGAAATCATTTCAAGCAAACAATGGAGATGTCTTAGTTATTCAAGTGAAAGTGCACACTCCATTTATGTTTCATAATTTCAGCTCCATATTTTCAAAGACATTGAAATCTGCTGCAGCACACCACCCAACTTGAAAATAGGACTGCTAAAGTCAATTTTCAGATCATGCAGGCTTTTCATTTTTCAGTGCTTATGAATCAGCAGGACAAAGCTCCATTACCAGACAGTTTTATGCCTTTAGCTGCATAAGCATATTGATGTGCTGTTAGGCAGTTAATAGAATACTAAAACCTCAAGTAAGGAAGCTTTTTAGTCAGTGTGTGCTTTGTAATTTCCCACTCAGTGTTATTCCTTGCTCAGGTTTTTTTGACTTAGCATTCTCTTTCTCTCTCTCTTTTTCACCTGGTTTTGTTCTCTTGGCTAATATATTATCAGGGCACATACTCTCTGATATTTAACCTAAATAACCAATGGTGGTTTCTAACATTGACGATTTGCTCTGCTCTTTCTTCATTACTCAGCTCAAGGGCATTAGACTTGTCCCTAACTGCATGTGCACCCACTGGACTAAGTGGAAGCATCAGCTCATTGATGTTCATTGCCTCGTCTGTCTCAGACACTTCGAGTCTGCTTGTTGGTTACAACTAAAAGAATATGAGTCGTTTTTTCTATCTGTACTACAGAACATTGCAGTGAACCAACTTGTCAGTCACAAAACTGTTTAAATTTCATGTGAAGGTAATGGAATTCAGAGTCTTAATTTTTGGACATTTGAGTGACTAGCTGCGGTATTTAATTGCCATTCTTGGAATGTATAAAGGTATGTTGAACTGAATGTTTTGACTGGCACTTAGCAGTATGCTAGCAGCCACATATGCTGTATCGTACACACCATTATAGTAAATATGTTGCATTTTCTCCGTGTTTCAGGTGGACTATGCCCATGATGATGTCCGTCGCACACAGAGGAACTGGGATAGGGCTCAGTGGAGGTAATACATGAGTTTTTATTTGTCATTTAAGACTACTGTGAATACTGTATCTTTCATTAGTTTCATCCTTAAACTACTGAGAATAGACTCATACACAATAGCGAAACAAAATTTGGGAGATACATGTGTTGTTATTTTAACATCAATGTGAAGCTCCTCTGCTGCTGTCATTGTTGATTGACCCTGAAAATCTCTTCAGGACATTTTTAGTCCATCACTATTGATTTCTGCTAAGAACATTTACTGGCATTACAAAACAGAAGTTGTCCAATACAATTAAACTCCTTGCATGTGAAAATTAACACTAACACTGGGCTGCTAACAGCTTTTAGTCATTTGTCTGGTGTAAAAGTTGAGCCTACGTTAGTGCGACGTGGTACACATCACTTCTCTTGATCTTGATGTTCTATCCTCTACAAGCTAGGTTTTGTTGACATGGTAATGGGTTCAATAAAGGTCACTGTGCTCTTGCGCACACACAGTCAGTCAGTGCATTTGAACTTCGTATGAAAATATCACGTGCGTAATTACAACATATTAAATCAACTTTCTGGCTTCATTGTAAAGAGATGGTAAACTGATATCACACGCTGAGAATCATTTTACAAGCCATATTATTTCATATGAAAGATTCTCTGTGATGTTTAGATGCCCTGCTGTTGTTTTTCAATGCTATTTTCCACATGGAATTAAAAACAGTTTAAAAAGAATTAAATTACTATTTGATTTTAAAGGTTGCCTACTCACACATGCAGTTGATGTTTATTGTTGTTTGCCTAATCGTTTGTGTTCATACCTGCTGTGTATTTCCACATGAAAATTACTAAAATTAATAAGTTTCTAGTACCGTTAGGCCTTTTAATCATCTAGACAGCACAGGGTGAGAAGCTTAAATAGAACAATTGAGTGCACTGCATTTTAAAAGGCAGCCAGTGAGGAGCCTGTTTAGTACAGAGCCATTGTTTGGCCTTCATTCAATTTATCCACCAGGGAAAACAGTCCTCACACAACTGAGACATTACAAAAAGGTCTGCTGGTTTCGTGACTCATGGATCCAGCAGACACACTGTAGTAGCATGTTGATCCTTGACTTGCATTTATTTCTCATTAATACTTCCTTTTTAATATGCATGCACACACAACATTTGTCACTAACACTCATTTACACACTCACACCTTGTGCTGTCTCAGGTCTCATTACTTATTTTTGTGTCTAGCTGTCTCTGCCGTTGCAGTGGCAGCGCTGGTATTACCGGGAAATTACCCCTACTACCTGGATTTGATCCATTCACTGTCATTCGGCCCCTTTCTCATTGGGCTGGCCAAGCTCGGCATCGCCTTCCCCTTATCTTACCACGCCTTTAATGGCATCCGCCACTTGGTAAGACTGTATAATTTGATTATACCTAGTAAATGCTAATGCTAAGTCTAGTACAGTCACAAGAAAATGATACCATTTGCAATTTCCTGGTTTAAATAGGTCATGAAATGTGATCTGATCTTCACCAAAGTCACAAATATATACAAACAGGATTATCCTGTAGGATACATTGATAAACCTTGGAATTCAGTTCCCCCTCCACAATGGCAAGAGCCTACTTTTATGGAGAGTAGCCACAGTACCAAATCATCTCTGTTTATAGACAGTATGTCTAATTGGACTGATGAATATCTAAAGGTTGAGATGATGGTAACCATTTCCAGCTACATGCAAATCACAACTCTTGATCGTAGCTCTTCTGAGATCTCTTTTTGAGAGGCATGGCTCACATCAGCTGATGCTGCTTGTGAATAGCAGACTGACACTGGTTGAGTGTTTTTATAAGTCAAGGTGGTTCTAAAACAGACCTCCATTCTCAGTTTGTTGATTGAACTCCAGGTTTGTTAACACTTGACTCCAGCTGCTGTTTAGTGATATCAGAAGCCTCGTGTTGCCGTTACTTTTTCCACCATCACTCTGTATGTTTAATGGGTGTGTTCAATAAAGACATGAAGGATCATGACTGTTTGTGATTTATCAGCTTAGAGACATTGTGTTTGTTGATATTTGTGACTTTGGTGAAGATCAGATCACATGTTAAGACCTATTTAAACCAAGAAACAGTGCCATTACTTTTCTTGCTACTGTATATTTGATATTTTTTGGTAATTTGTTGACCCTTGCTATGTTTAGTGTAGGCTCAAGTTTTTAATAGAGACAGTTTGGTACATTTTTCATTTTTTGTCATGTTTGATTATGTTACTGACTTTAATAGAAGATAGATTACATTTACCAGCATGTTTAAAAATGATGGATTTTTTTATGCTAAATTGTCTTCTCCCCTTTCTATTGAAATCAGATTTGGGACATCGGCAAGGGTTTCAGAATGGCTGAGGTCTACCGTTCCGGCTATGCGGTTATCGGTCTCTCCATCATCACCTCCATAGCCTTGGTTTTGCGCTAAGCTCAGGACGAGAACAGATGAGCAGAAAGGAAAGGAGGGGAGGGAGCTGAAGGGAATGTGGACTGGATGCACCGGTGGTGTTTTGTGTATATGTTCTGTTCTGGCCTGCTGTAGGCCCCATTTCATCAGAATATTAAATAAAGGATTATATTGTGCTGTATGCAGAAAAGGTATTGTGGTGTTTTGTCCCTTGGAATTAATTATGCTATGGAAAGCTTTGGGGTCATCAAAAGCAGCAAGAGAGCAAAGTGCATGCAAATGTGACCTAGTTTACTTCACACTTGTTCCCAGTATGAACAACAATCCAGTAGCCAAAATTAGACATGTCCTACATGTTATGCTCTTATGTAATCTAATTGTGCTGTGACGTCAGGTTCATTAATGACTTTTCTCTGCCTCAAGTGCTCAGTCACTCTCAGCCCAGCCAGCGTGCCCTGTGTGATGTCTGGAGAGCGGCTGTTTACTGTGGGCTGTCATTCATTTTTTACCTTGTCCAGGCCGCAGCTGCTCAGATGCATTTTTAACGTCAGGAAAGAGAGGGGCTGAAATGTGGAGAGGCAGCCCACTGGTGGAAGCTGTGTATGTGAACAGGCTCCTCACTGGCAGTCAGCCTCAGGCCTTACCTCCCACTGAGCCATGCCAGAGCTACACACTGCACCTGAGCAGCTTTTGTTCTGCAGTGTGAATAAAAGCAAGCCGTGATGTACTGTCAGATCCAATTCGATTTATGTAGGGTACAGTAAGAAGTCCACATGGGGGAACAAACACCCGTAAAGGAAACTGCACCCACACTGTTTCATGCCAGCTGGTTTGAGAATGTGTCTGTTTAGATCAGCTAAACCTGCACTGAGGGAAACAACATGACCACTTAGTGTAGTTAGCCTCAGCAGTATTTGTTTAGCAAATTCTCACTGGTGGCTCAAAGCGAAAGTGCTTGTCAACTTGCATTTCTTTTCAGTTTACTGTTGAGGAAATATGTACATGTGCCCCACATATGATCAAACATATTGCTTAAGAAGGACACAGCAAATTTATTGCTGTTGATAGTGTTATACTTCCCTGACAGCCTTATCATCTCTGTTACTGGACAACATCTCTATATTTAACACTTGCCAGCTCAAAAATAATTGCCACTCTAACAGGAACACTTCCAGAATTGCTGAAAGTGAATTTGTCATCTAGATGATTTCCCACATTGAGTTCATTTCCACCTGAGCCAGAGAGCCACTGGACTGCATTTGTGTTTGTGTGTGTGTGGTGTGATGGACACTAAAACTGCTCCAGCTCTGCAAGGTATCAGGCTGGATTTGGTTATAATCAGTTCACACCAAGTCTAGAAATGTTTTCCATGACAGAAACTGAGGTAATAAAAACATGGGCTGTTCACAGCTGTTCCCTGTATAGGCTGAGTTGCACAGTTACTGACAGTGTAACACGTCTCATCTGTAGGTTTCATAATGTCAACATTATGATGTTTTCACGAGATAACCTGCGTGAAAGCAATGGGCGATGTGGAGCGCGGACGCTCGCCGTCTTTATGAGGCACAAGTAGAGTAATGGCTACGCGGCGGCAGCACCCCCTACCGGGCGGCAAATTGTTGTCCGCAGGGCAGCGGTCCTGATGCTGAGGCACGGTGAGGATGCTGCACAGGGCTGGGAGGGGGAGTATAAACCCGCTTTTGATGAGAAAAACCTGTGCTTCGGTCTCTGTGGCGCAATGGAATAGCGCGCTGGACTTCTAATCCAGAGGCTCCGGGTTCGAGTCCCGGCAGAGATGTGGAGGAGAGGGTCGTGGCTTTTTGGATGCGATCTAGAGTGATGGAAAGAAAGAGACTGTTTTATAGCTGTTACAACTGATGATGTATCTTTCAAGTCTGTTCCATCTATAAACACGATGGATGGATGACAGACACATAAAAAAAATGCACTACCACAGATGTGCTTATTTTGCAGTGACTCAGTACACAGAGCACCTGATCCATATTGTTATAGAAATTTCACATGGACGAGTCTTTTCAGCTTGCAAAGGTCAACGCTTTAATATGCAGATTTCAAACGGGCAGAGCGCCTGAAACCACAGCTCCGTTGTAGGCTTCGTTGCCAGCCAGTCCACGCTGCCTCGGGCTCTGGTCATCACGTAGGCACCACAGGACGGCAGCGCGCAGCCTCGTCTTGTGAAAGTCAGTGGACACGCGCGTGCCCAGCACCTGGCGCTGTCCACACATTTAAACGGGAGCAAAAGCTTTTTCTGATTCTGCCAGCAACAACTCATTTAAAGCGTTTTGCGTCCTCGTAACAGTTGTTTATTCATACCTAATGCTGCGTTGCTACTCTCCCACTTGGTGGTTTACTTTGAACATAAATGACTGACTGTAGACTGAATGGATATAACCAGACTATAATCAGAGTGTGACGGTGCCATAGTCACTGTGTATTTTTAATTTAATGCAATTAGAGTGGGGAACTTTATGGAATGTTTTCAAGGACCCCTGAAGGTGGACTTTAGTTTTTGCTAGAAAAAAAACAGCATTACTTTCCAGTCGTGGAAGCCCGGAGCAGCACCGTTTATTATTTTCAGAGTGGAGAGCAGCTGTCTGCTTGAAGATCTCTCAAACGCCCCGACTCCTCTGACCCCTCCCGGGTCCCCGTGGCTTTTACTGTTCTGTATTTCCTTCAAACCCACCTCCCCGGTTTCAGTTTGTCGCCACCACCAGTGATTGGGCTGTCGTGCCGCCATCCATGTTTAACCCCATCATAGCTCCCCACACACAGACCTAATCCGTTAGCAAAACTAATCCTTAATCCTCTCTGGCAGGATGAACACCCCACCCCACCACCACCAATGAGACGTCAGAACTATACGGACTGCCCTCTGATAAAGTTTATAGGCTATATTGCAGACTGCCCGTTCCTAGGGATATAAACATTATGATGTATAAATGTTATGGGAGTAGGCCATTATACACAATTCGAAGTAATAATTGATTTTTAAAAATGCAATAAAGCCACTTTTAAAGGCACGGGTGAATTATAACAGTAGTGTAGGGATATCAGAAAGATACACTGAAGCAGAGATGTCCCACAACTCCACAAGACCAAGTGCTGGGTAATATCATTACCATACTGCAAATTATCATGCCTACGGGAAATTGCAGTGGGGCCTGGCTGTGAGATAGGAGTAATAGTTGCATAATATCAATGATAAGAACCATTATAGGCCACTGAGATCCGTGTCAATCAACTTCAGATGACCTCTGCTGCTTCAGCTCAGCAGATATCTAATCCTACGATAACATTTCAGCA